ACGCAGAGGACGGGCCCGGGGAGCCCAGACAAGCGCACGCAAGCCCGTGACGCAGAGGATGGGCCCGGGGAGCCCAGACAAGCGCACGCAAGCCCGTGACGCACAGGCCGGACCCATGAAGCTGAGACAAGGGCACACGAGCCCCACAACACAGCGGGGTGAGCTCCGGGGGCTGAGGGAAGCCCACAGAAATCTCCGCGACACAGAGGGCACAGTCGGGGAACCAAAAAAAGATCCACACAAACCCCTACCCAGCAAGCTTCGGCCAGTAGTGCAGGGCGGGACAGGGTAACAGAAGCATAGCAATGATCCCCAGGACAAGTCAGGGGCTGGCGGCAGTGGAGACGCTGAGAGGGCCACTTTGAAGCAGCTGTGGAAACAGAGGTGTCTAACACTGCCAGGGCCAGAAGGACTGCCCAAACACATACTGGACCCATAGAGACTGCAGCACACTGCACGGCCCTTCAGAGAGAGGAGATCCAGCTCCATCAACCAGAACATAGGCACAAGCTCCCGCAACCAGGAAAACATCACAGGAGCTAACCCAACCCCATCCAAGGGGCAGACTCTACAGCCAAGAAGTATGACCTTCAGAACCTTTTTTTCCCCCCCTTTATTTTTTCCTATAAATCACCCTGTGTATTCCTCCTATATAGTCTCAAGAATCTTCTCTGACCACATCACTATAAGACTAGATATCAACTACAGGGAAAAATTGCAAAAAATACAAACTCATGGAGATTAAACAGTACATTACTAAATAATGAAGATGTTACTGAAGAAATAAGAAGGGAAATCAAAAGATTCCTGAAACAAATGACAACAAAAACATGATGACCCAAAACCTATGGGATTCAGCAAAAGCCGTTCTAAGAGGGAAGTTTATAGCAATACAATCCTACCTCAAGAAACAAGAAAAAAATCAGATAGACAGCCTAACTCTACATCTAATACAGCTGGAAAAAGAACAAAAAAAGTCATTAGAAGGAAATAAATCATAAAGATCAGAGCAGAAATAAATGAAAAAGAAATGAAGGAAACAATAGCAAAGGTGAATAAAACTAAAAGCTGGTTCGTAGAGAAGATAAACAAAATTGACACCCACTAGCCAGACTCATCAAGAAATAAAGGGAGAAAAATCAAATCAACAAAATTAGAAATGAAAAAGGAAAGGTTACAACAGACAACACAGAAATACAAAGGACAATAAGAGAATATTATAAGCAACTATAGGCTAATAAAATGGACAGCTTAGAGGAAATAGACAGATTCTTAGGAAAGTTCAACAGGAAGAAACAGAAATTATGAACAAGTACACACACTGAAACTGTGATCAAAAATCTCCCAAAAAACAAAAGCCCGGGGCCAGATGGCTTCACAGAATTCTATCAAACATTTAGAGAAGAGCTAATGCTTATTTTTCTGAAACTCTTCCAAAAAATTGCAGAGGAAAGAGCACTTCCAAAGTCATTCTATGAGGCCACAATCACCCTGATACCAAAACGAGGCAAAGACAACACAAAAAAGGAAAATTACAGGCCAGTATCACTGATGAACATAGATGAAAAAATCCCCAACAAAATTCTAGCAAACAGAATTCAACAACACATTAAAAAGCTCATACACCATGATCAAGTTTGGTTTATCCCAGGAATGCAAAGATTCTTCAATATACACAAACCAGTCAATGTGATACACTATATTAACAACTTGAAAGATAAAAACCATATGATCATATAAATAGATGCAGAAAAAGCCTTTGACAAAATTGAGCACCCATTTATGATAAAAGCACTTCACAAAATGGGCATAGAAGGAATCTACCTCAACATAGTAAAGGCCATATATGATTAAGCCCACAGCAAACATTGTTCTCAATGGTTTAAACTAAAAGCATTCCCTCTAAGATCAGGAACAAGACAAGGGTATCCACTCTCACCACTATTCAACATAGTTTTGGAAGTCCTAGCCATGGCAATTAGAGAAGAAAAAGAAATAAAAGGAATCCAGACTGGAAAAGGAGAAATAAAACTCTCACTGTTTGCAGATGACATGATACTACACATAAAAAATCCAAAAGAAACCATCAGAAAATCACTAGAGCTAATCAGCAAATTCAGCAAAGTTGCAGGATACAAGTTCAGTACACAGAAATCACTTGCATCCCTATATACTACCAATGAAAAATCAGAAAGAGCAATTAAGGAATCAATCCCATTCACCACTGCAACAAAAAGAATAAAATATCTAGGAATAAACCTACTTAAGGAGACAAAAGACGTGTATACAGAAAATTACAGGACACTGATGAAAGAAATCAAAGATGACATAAATAGATGGAGAGATATTCCATGTTCCTAGGTAGGAAGAATCAACATTGTGAAAAATGACTATACTACTGAATGCAATCTACAGGTTCAATGTGATCCCTATCAAATTACCAATGGCATTTTTCATAGAACTAGAACAAAAAATTTCACAATTCATATGGAAACACAAAAGACCCTGAATAGCCAAAGCAGTCTTGAGAAAGAAGACTGGAGCTGGAGGAATCAAGCTTCCTGACTTCAGATTATACTACAAAGCTACAGTCATCAAGACAGTGTGGTACTGCACAAAATCAGAAATATAGACCCATGGAACAAGATAGAAAGCCCAGAGATAAACCCCATGCACCTATGGGTACCTTATTTTTGACAAAGGAGGCAGAATATACAATGGGGCAAAGACAGACTCTTTAATAAGTGGTGCTGGGAAAACTGGAGAGCTATGTGCAAAAAAAGAAATTAGAACACTTCCTAACACCATACACAAAGATAAACTCAAAATGGATTAAAGACCTAAATGTAAGACCAGGAACTATAAAAACTCTTAGAGGAAAACATAGGCAGAACACTAGATGATGTAAATCAAAGCAAGATCTTCTGTGACCCACCTCCTAGAGTAATGGAAATAAAAACAAAAATAAACAAGTGGGACCTAATTAAACTTAAAAGCTTTTGCACAGCAAAGGAAACTACAAACAAAGTGAAAAGACAGCCCTCAGAATGGGAGAAAATAATAGCAAAGGAAACAACTGACAAAGAATTAATTTCCAAAATATGCAAATAACTCATACAACTCAGTAACAGAAAAACAAACAATCCAATCAAAAAGTGGGAAAAAGACCTAAACAGACATTTCTCCAAAGAATACAGGTGGCTAACAAACACATGAAAAGATGCTCAACGTCACTCATTATTAGAGAAATGAAAATCAAAACTACAATGAGATACCACCTCATACCAGTCAGAATGGCCATCATCAAAAAGTCTGTAATCAATGTAAATCAATGTAAATTGATTACAGTCATTATGGAAGATGGTATGGAGATTCCTTAAAAAGCTAGGAATAATACCACCATATGACCTAGCAGTCCCACTACCAGGCATATACCCTGAGGAAACCAAAATTGAAAAAGACATATATACCCCCAATGTTCATTGCAGCACTATTTACAATAGCTAGTACATGGAAGTAACCCTAGATGTCCACTGATAGATGAATGGATAAAGAAACTGTGGTACATACATACAGTGGAATACTACTTAGCCATAAAAAGGAACACCTTAGAGTCAGTTCTAATGTGGGTGAACCTACAGCCTATTATACAGAGAGAAGTAAGGTAGAAAGAGAAATATAAATATCATATACTGATGCATATATATGGAATCTAAAAAGATGGTACTGATGAATTTATTTTCAGGACAGCAATGGAGAAACAGACATAGAGAACAGACCCATGGACACAAGGGGAGGCGAGGAGGGGGAGGGTGGGATGTACGGAGATAGTGACAGGGAAACTCACATGACCACATGTAAAATAGAGAGCCAGCGGGAATTTGCTGTATGGCTCAGGAAACTCAAACAGGGGCTCTGTGACAACCCACAAAGGTGGGATGGGGTGGGAGATGGGAGGGAGGTTTGGGCGGGAAGGGGCATGGGTGTACCTATGGCTGACTCTTGTTGATGTATGACAGAAAAGCCATTATCCTTCAATTAAAAAAAATTAAAAAAAGAAGAAAATAGATGACCAACAAGGACCTGCTGTATAGCACAGGGAACTGTATTCAATATCTTGTAGTGACCTACAATAAAATCTGAAAGAATATATATCTATATAAAACTGAGTCATTCTGCTCTACACCTGGAACACAACACTGTAAATCAACTATAATAACAACAACAACAAAAAATCACTGACTCTTATGACTGTAAAACACAACAGAATAAAAGAACAACTGTACCAGCCGGGGGGGTGGGGAATTGAAAATATCAATAATAATAACTTGATGGGGAATAAAAGTTTTATATGAAATATTTTATGTTCTTTAAACCAATAAAGTGACAATGAAGCCATTAATAATGCTAAAGAAAAGACTGTGTATTTTAATTTTTCCTAATGTTTTCAGATTCTTCTTTTATTCCCACTAAAAGACAAATATTTTATCTCCAGGGTTTGAGAATTTACTGTATTAAATTATGACAGATTTTATTTCTGATTTGCTATTGTGCTCAACTAAGTGAAGCAAATCTTACTTTAGTGTATATAAATTTTTTCTAAAGGTCTATTCTAGAGGAGAAAATTATATAGCATAGCAAATGTGCTGTCCTTGTTAAATCACACTCATTTAAAACACAGATAAAAACACACTAGTTTCCTAAGAACAAAATTTAGAATGTAGCTGTAAGATTCCTTTTGTAGATAACACACCTTATTTTCTCCTAACAAGAAAGACAAAGAGAGTCACTTGAAAATAATTACTCTAGAAGCTTTTAAATGAAAAGTAATTTTTCATAGATTTAAACTAGAAAGAATTAAAGTATCTTGGGGAAAGCAGTACTTCGTATATTAATTTGCCTAGAGTGTGCACAACAGAAATATTCATTAAAAAATTGGTATCTTAAACCTGAAAGAAAAAGTTTCCAAAATTATTTTTAAAATGTGCCAAAATTCATACCTGATTTTTTAATGATGAAAGAATATACTCCTTTTCATAGGGGGAGATTGTCTTGTGATTTTCTGGTGTATCACTAACTAAGCAGATCCATAAAATAAACCAAATGATTCCAACAATGCCTTAAAATAGAAAAACAATAGTTAAAATGAAATCAGAATGTACCAAGGCAGCAATTAAACTTAGGTCTTGAAAAAAATTATGTAATTATAAACTTCACCACAATATGTCTAGCATTGTCACCACACAAAAGTTTTTTTTTTTGTTATAAGAACTTTTAGGATCTATTTTTTTGGCAACTTACAAGTATGCACTACAATATCACTGGGTGATACATTACAAACCTAGTCTTATTTATTTTATAATGGGAATTTTGCACCTAAAGCAAACATCTACCAGACCAAACCTTTAAAAAACTAAATGTCTACAATCTATTATTTCCACAGGTATCTGCTTTTGTTTACTTATTTGTTTTGATTGCAGACATATTTCCTGAATAAATGTTTAGGTGGTATCTACCCTATTAAAAATGTGTATCATCCTGCTATTGAGACAGAGGAATGAAAGGCCCCGGGGCTAAACAAACAAACAAAAAAGATTAAAATTACCAAGTGAGAGTATTCTAGTTTGCTTGAGAAGAAATATTTTCAAATTTTACATTTTTATAATAAATGACATAGCAATTTTTGTAGTTAAGTGTAGCATTTAAGTCCTGGATTCAACAGCACTTTCTATTGAACAAATACTCCAAAATTAACAGCCAGTCACAGCTTAGCCAGATCATTTTAACCACATAAACTTGAAAAACAGGTTATCAGTAAGTGTTTCAGCGCTTTGTGGTTTAGGAGATGGTTACTTCATTGAGTTGGCATATACATATTTTAACCAATTATTAAACCTCTATTACATTTCAGACCTCTCACATCATGATTTAGGTTACATTTTGAATAAACTTACCAAAGAAATAGAAGACATAAGTCCAATCCATATAGTAGCAAATTATTCCAGAGAGAGGGAGAGAAACCACTGTCCCAAGCTGTGCTCCTAGAACAACAACAAAGCTTTGTAAACTCTGGGGAAAAATGAACGAATAGGGGACAGGTCTACTGCCCAAGAGGATGGACAAGAGATTATGAGGAAAAGAGCGATCAGCTCCCATAGGTGGGGCTTCCCTGGCGGTCTAGTGGTTAAGAATTCGCCTGCATTTGAAGGGGTCACTGGTTTGATCCTTGGCCCTAGAAGATTCCACATGGTGCAGAGCAACTAAGTCCCTGCGCCACAGTACTGAGTACACAAGCTGCAAGTACTGAAGACCGGGGGCCTAGCACCTGTGCACTGCGACTCCAAAGTAGCCCCTGCTCGTAACTAGAGAGAGCCCGCCTGCAGCAGTGAAGACCCAGGGCAGCAAGAAATACGTGAATTAAAAAAGAAAATCTCATAGGAGTTGAGTTTGTTGTTGTTTAGTCATTAAGCTATGTCCGACTCTTCTGTGACCCCATGGACTGTAGCCCGCCAGGCTTCTCTGTCCATCGGATTTCCCAGGCAGGAATACTAAAGTGGGTTACCATTTCCTTCTCCAGAGGATCTACTGACCCAGGGATGGAACTCCATTCCACACTGGCAGGCAGGTCCCTTACCACTGAGCCACCAGTGAAGCCAGAGGAACTGAGTTAGTCACATGCAAATTTAAATAATCCATTCTCCTAAGGGATCATTTATTAGAAAACTAATAATATATAAAATGGATATATTAATATATAGTTACATTAGTTATGATTATATAGCTATTCTGAATTAGAAGGCATCAATCAACGGAAGACCTATTATAATATGAGCTAGTAAATGCCACATTACTAGTAAATGTGTTAGAAAGCCAAGTGTTTGGGGGAAAGGCTCAAAGATGACCTCTAAACATAACCTACTGCAGCACATCTGATGGAAAATGAACAAAGCTTTAAGTAATCTAATTTGCTCCAAATACACTACACACATTTGTATCAGATAAATAAATACTAGAACTCATTTTAACCACCAGACAGAGGACATCTTAGTAGGTACACTGTGAGCTAAAATAATCAGACATTGTTTCTGGTCTCAAGTTTTAGTCTTATAGAGTAAGTAAATATAAACAAATAATTATTATATGTTAGAAAGTGTTGAGTGTCACAGAGCAATATGAAAGTTCAAAGGTAGGGCAGATAACCTCTGACCTCCAGAGATCAGGAAAAGATGTAAGAGGCAGTGGTGGGACTTTGAAAAGATGAGCAAGATCTGGTCCCATAAGAAAGAAGATATAAAGGCAGATGTAACACGGTGAGTAAGGAATGAAAGTAGGAAAGCGGCAAGTGGGATTGGGAACTTCAACTGGGTGAAGGAAAGGAAAAGAAAGGCTAGAGAAACAGGTTGAATAGTTGCTGAATATCTGCTCCCTGCCAGGCACTATGTGCCAGGGACTATGCTGGCTAAAAGGAAGCGGTAATGACCAGAAAGACTCTTGACCCCTCGTTTGAGCTCAGACTTTATATAGGCAAAGGAGAACCACAGATAGTGCCTCTTCTTGAGCTTCTTATCAGATTTCTTACATCGATCTCCACACAGCTGTAAGAATCTTCTTAAAAGTAAACAAAAAAAAGGAATCTTCTTAAAATGTACATGAGATCATATCTCTCATGTAAAATATTTCCCCATTGCATTTCGGAGAAGAAAAACCCTGTGACCTGTAGGCCTTGATGTAATCTGGCTCTTGTCTATTTCTCTAACCCCATTCTCTGCTGTTATCTCTTTAATTCATGTGTTCTAGACATCTACAGTGTTTCTCATTGCTTGAAACTATGTTACTTCCTGCCTGACAGTCCTTGTGCATGCTGTTCTGATTGGCTGGAATGCTCTCCTTTTTGCTCTTTGCATGACTGGTTCATCTCATTCTTCAGATTTTAGCTTAAAAGCCGCTGCAAGAGAGGTCTTTCTCAACCACTGTATTTAAAAGTGGTCAGGTCAAAAGGTTTGCATTAAGCATGTGAGCTGGAGGAATTATAATTCACATATAACGCTCATGCTGTCTTACCTGTAGATCAAAATGATAGCAAATAATGCATGGGGAAAAAAAAAGGTGTCTGAGGGAGGGACTGAAAGTCATGACATGCTTATGAGATGATCAAACCAGAAATCACAATTTAAGGACACAAGTATTCAATTCTCCAGCTCTTTCGGGATTTTGTTCTGTTAAAGCATTCTCTATACCAACATCTGAAAAGGCAACATGGTTTGAAATAAAGGATGGCAGATGAAGAAAACGACAGTAGTCAATTATGCCATATTGCTATATGCTAGTGAGCCAAGGAAAACCATTAATAACAAAGTTGTATCCTCAAAACTTTATTTTTTCCCAAAGGAAACACCTGACATTGCATGATTCTGGTGTATACCTTTCCCCCAATGTTGAAGTGTAGATAACAAACTGTAGCAAAAATCTTTATAAAAATGGTTATCTCACCTGCATATGAAATACTCAGAAGCTTGCTTCTTTCAAGAGGGGGAGCCCACGAAGACCACATCGCATGCATGGCTGGAAATGTGACACCCTGAGAAGGGAAAAAGGCATTTCTGATGAAATACAAAGTTGTTTTGTTAATGTTTTAAATTCGGTTGAGTATTTTGTTGCAAGAGAAATTTCTGGATAAGACTTAAACCAGAATCAGGTTTCCTGGAGTGACATGCCTTTACAGTGTTGAGTGAAAATACCTCATAGTGAAGTACTTGAAAAATCTGAACAAAGATTTGTGGATTCTGTCAACTGGTTTGAGGACTACAACGTAAGGGGTATAAAAAATAGAATGTATTGAGTGATGATATAAAGGGATTCCTCTCAATGTTAACTTTACTCATCTACTTTATTTAAGGCCTGAATGAAATGGAAATGTAACCAATACATAATTTAAACATACTGATCTAATACTGTGGGATACTAGAAGAAAATTCAAATTCACCCCAATCAACAGGAAAAATGGTCCTATCAAAAAACACCCAATTAGAGTGTTTATGGTATTTTTTTTAAGTTTTCTGGTCATAATCAGCCTAGTAAATGCCAATTAGTGGAGGGGAAAGATAGGAGTAGGGGATTAAGAGGTATTAATACAAACCACTAGGTATAAAATAAATAAGCTGTCAGAAAATTATATATCACAGGGAATATAATATTTTATAATAGTTACAAATGGAGTATAATCCATAAAAATTTTGAATGACTATGTTGTACATCTGAGATTTACAGAATATTGTACATCTATTACAACTCGATTTAAAAAAAATACCAATTACTGATAATGGAGAAACAGAACAGTGAAAGCAGGGAGGTCCACAGAGACTTGGGAGAGGAGGAGATGCTACAGGAACAGGAAGGAATAGATTCTGGTAGATTCAAAGTGGTGGATTCACTGCTCTCCCTGGCCATTCACTAGCTGTTGTAGCCTCAGAAAGATTAGTTAACCTCTTAGAACTTCCGTGCCTTTTTCTGTAAAACAGGTATTTTACTTAGGTAAGGAGAAGAGGAACCTGGTATTAGGGGGCTAGTTTTATTTTGTAGTCAAGAAGAGTTTATTTGGTACACCTCTATTTGATAAGGATCGTTCAGATGAGTGACCAAAGCTTAAATTTAAATAGCACTTGGCAATTTCCAAAGTTTTCTAGCCGTTATTATATGACTGGATTTTACTACTGCAGTCAGTGTTTTTCCTACACAGATATAAAGCAATTCCTCTCAACGTTAACTTTACTCTTCCACTTATTTAAGGCCTGAATGAGACTAACACTTTCTCACTTCCTTATCTTCTCAGTAAGAGGCAGCAGCGGGGAGCTACGAAGTGTCCCCTAGAAAATGTTTTCTCTGGTCTTTGAGTAAAGCTTCTAATTTTGGAGTGCTTCCACTGGAGATCTCATCGACCACAAACAAAAATCTACTCATTTTATGGTTTAATCAGTTTTTAGTTAAAAAATAAATCCCTGTTATCTTTCAGTGTCATTTTTTTGGGCTCATGTTCATACCAAAGAATGATATCTTTAAGAAGATAAGAAAGTGAGAAGAGGTAAGAAGAAAAATGAGAGAAAAAAGCATACCTCTCCTAGCCCTTCTAGTGCCCTGAGGGCAACGAGGGCTCCGACTCCGAAATCTGCAGCGAGGGGAGTGAAAAGGGTGAAGACAGCAGTGCCAAGGATCCCGAATCCTAGCAGCAGCTTCCCCCCACTTTTGCTGGCAACATATCCTCCAGGAATTTGTGTGATGATGTAGCCATAGAAAAAAGACCCAAGAATCCATCCTTGAGTTTCTGCATCCCACTGGTACTTTTTACCCTATAAAGAATAGGGGGAAAAAGAAAGTCTTTTAAGGTGAAGTAACATTCCATCGTGTTTATGTACCACAGCTTTATCCATTCATCTGTCAATGGACATGGACGTTTCCTCCACGTCTGGCTGTTGTAAATAGTGCTACAATGGACACTGGGGTGCATATGTCTATTAGAATTGTAGTTTTCTCAGGGTATATGCCCAGTAGTGGGATTGCTGGGTCATATGGTAGTATTAGTCCTCTTTTTTTTTTTTTAAGGAATACTCCACATTCTTCTCCATAACGGCTGCATCAGTTTACATTCCCACTAACAGTGCCTGAGGTTTCTACCTAGAGCCTGTTATAGACAGTGAAGTAAGTCAGAAAGAGAAAAACAAGTATCATATATTAACATATATATATGGAATCTAGAAAAATGGTACTGATGAAACTAGTAGAGGATGGATTTCTGGACACAGCAGGGGAAAGTGAGGGTGGGAACGAATGGAGGAGGTAGCATTGACATATATACACACTCGTGTAAAATAAACAGTTAGTGGGAAGTCACTACAGAACACAGGGAGCCCACCCTGGCATTCTGTGATGACCTAGAGGGGGTGGGATGGGGGGAGCTGAGGGAGGCTATGGATATATATATATAGTTATGACTGATTTCTATTGTTGTACAGCAGAAACCAACAGAACATTGTAAAGAAAATTTCCACCAAATAAAAAATTTAGAAAAAACCCCCAGCCTTTTAACATCTTGATAAAATGGCTCCTTTCTCTTACTGGCATGTGAGTACGTATAAATGCAGTTTTGAACCACTGTTCTTTTTCTTCCTGTTCGTTTGCTTTTTTGGCTGTAAGACCAGTGAGATCTTAGTTCCCTGACCAGGGACTGAGCCCAGGCCATAACAGTGAAAGCACCAAGTCCTAACCACTGGACTACCAGGAAATCCCCAGAACCACTGATGGAGGCTGAAGAACATGTGGACTTCCTCTTGGGTGGTTGAGTCAATGTGATACAGACATGCAGGTTCTAGAAGCGAATGGAAAATCATCGAAAGTCATAATGTGCAGGAATGCTTGCTATTTTATAAAACTAGACTACAGGATGAATTGTAGATGTTTTGTGACAAAGAAGGCTCCAAAAAGGCAGAGGGTTGATCCAGAAAGTTACTGATCAGGATACTTCAGAGGCTAAGCCAGGCTTTAGAGCTAGGACTGGGTTCAAGGCCAGCTCTGTTACTTACTGGGTTTGTAACCTGGGAAGATTAAATGGAAAAGGCACCTAAAATAAGGCCTGACACATACTAAGTAATCACTTAATGCTAGCCACTAGTATGCAAAAATACAGATAATGTCTCCTTATTTCAGAGCAAGCACTTAAAAAAGGATATAGAGCAGTACAACAGAGCCAGAATTTAAACCAAGCCAGAAACTTCATGTGAGTAGAAAATGTTTTTTAACTAGTAGCAGCACACAGTAAGGTGAATATGAAGATTTTAAAATTAATTTATAAATTTGGTTGTGCTGGATCTTTGTTGCTGTGCATGGGCTTTCTCTAGTTGCATGGAGTAGGGGCTGCCCTCTAGCTGTGATGCATGGGCTTCTCATTGAAGTGACTTCTCTTATTGCAGAGCACAGGTTCAGGAGTTGTGGCCCACGGGCTTATTTGCCCCATGGCATGTAGAATCTTCCAGGACAAAGGATCGAACCTGTGTTCCCTGCGTTGGCAGGCAGATTCCTATCCACTGTACCACCAGGGAAGTCCAAATATGAAGATTTGACAACTTGGTATCTGAATCGTTAGTACACGGAGCCACGTAACCTAACCCATGTAATTAAGAACCATTCAGGATTTCTTTTTATTGTGCATATAGGGCAGATAGCGGAGAAGGCCATGGCACCCCACTCCAGTACTCTTGCCTGGAAAATCCCATGGACGGAGGAGCCTGATAGGCTGCAGTCCATGAGGTCGCTAAGAGTCGGACACAACTGAAGCAGCAGCAGGGCAAATAGGTGGCTCAGATGCTAAAGAATCTGCCTGCAATGCAGGAGACCTGGGTTTGATCCCTGGGTTGGGAAGATACCCTGGAGACGGGAATGGCTACCCACCCCAGTATTCTGGCCTGGAGAATTCCATGGACAGAGGAGCCTGGTGGGCTAGAGTCCATGGGATTGCAAAGAGTCGGACACGATTAGTGACTAAAAACTTTTCAAGTAGTTGAATTATCAGAAGAACTTGTGGAGAGGAAAAATACAAAGCAAACCCATAATTCTTTTTGTTTACAGTACCATTCTGTAGCTTCTCTGTAAAATTCCAGGCCTTCATGAAGTATCTAGCAGTTACAGGTTGAGGTAGGGAAAGTGGGTGAAATGTACCCTTAACATGTATTCAACAGCATCATCAAAGTCCAACGCAAAGATTTTTGATGTCATTATTTTTGTGTGTGTGCTTGTTTGGGGGCAGAAACCCTCTTCCCTGTTTGAGAAGAGGGAAGTCTTCTCATCTGTAAATGGCAGAGAAGACTCACCTAACGTGGGAGCTGGCTCCTTGATGAGCACTGGAGATGGATAAAAATATGCTTGTAAAAGGACACCAGCCTTTCCCCCCTGTATTGTCTCCATGCAAAATAAAACGTTTATTATGTGTAAAACTCAATTCTGCACAAATGATGAACAAGCACTCATCAATTCCACTAGAATACGAGGGGGGCAAAATGATGTAAGTGGCTTAGGTGAGACAGGCTATAGATTTTTGAAAAGAAGTTGATGAATTCTTATTTTTCATCCTTGTAGTTGAGATTCTTTAAGTTCTCCTGCAACAGAGGGCTTCCCTGGTGGATCAGTGGTAGAGAATCAGTCAGACAATGCAGGAGACACAGGCTCAATCGCTGGCCCGTGAAGATCCCCCATAACGTGGAACAACTAAGCCCAAGCACCACAACTATTGAGCCTGTACTCTAGAGTCTGGGGAACTGCAACTACTGAGCCTGCGTGCCACAGCTACTGAAGCCCGCACATCCTACAGCCCTTGCTCCGCAACAAGAGAAGCCACCGCAATGAGAGGCCTGCGCACGGCAACTAGAGAGGAGCCCCACTTGCTACAAGGGGAGAAAAACCCACGCAGCAACAAAGACCCAGCGTAGCCAAAAAGAAATTAAATTTTGAAAGTTCTCCTGCTACAGGAACCTTTTAAAGAGTACAGCTATTAAATATTGTTCCCATAAAAACTATTCAGCAACATCTAAACCAATCTAGTTTCCCAGTATGCCAGACAGGTTTTTCCAAACTCTCTTCAAGGACGGCATTAAACGTTTATGGAGGAAACTGAAAAGTCACTTTTCAAACAGATCAGGGTGCAGCAGCAGTAGCTAACCAGTGACTGGGAAAACACGAAAGAAAATGATTCAGGTTTACATGAAGAAAGAGTTTGTGTTTCTGTAGGACAAACAAATTCAATGTTTTTCAATATGTTTACCTGGAAGTATTTTACGATTAAGATTGTCGGCTTGAAAAAAAACAGCACTCACCGTTTGGTTGTGAAGAACTTTTATGGGAGCAGAATGCTCTGCACACTCGTAGGACGTTCTGTTATCTTTGGCAGTTGTGTTTGAGTCCACCATGTCCACTAGTGCAACACTCAGATTCACCCGTAATGAATAGAGAACGAAGAAACCAAAAAAGGATAAAAATGCTAGGTTGTAACGAGCAGAGCAGCACGCTGGAGCTGAAATAAAGACTTGGGGTAAAACTTCCATGAAAAGAATAACTTAGATCATATTGTCTAAATCACTAGAAAGGCCAGTTCTTAGATGTACACAAATTAGTAAATTATGAATATTTTTCTGAGAATATTCTCAGATGAAGTATACCTAAAAGCATGTATCAAGGAGAATTTGTTCTGGTATCTGTAACTTTGATAAACATTTAGCATATGAGAGCCTGAACTCTAAGATGGTTTCTTAAAACATGGAGGCACCAGTTTAATTAACTTTGTTCAGAAAAATCTGCATTCTGGAGTCAAAACTGAACCCCCCAATCCCTGTCAGCTGACAAGATGAGAGGAGCACAGGTAAAGGGGTTTAACGGCATTGCTATTGCTGAAAAACTATCTCAAACATGGCCAGCAAGTCCTTATTCAGCACACCGTGTATAATAGTAACTATGGGTTAGTAGTCATCTCTCACCATAAACACATCTCAGCATAAAGAACTTCCTGCTAAGGCCAGGGCATGAACCCCCTTTCCCCCTCTCCACCCCCCACACACCACGATCAATTTCTTACCTTGAAAACCATCCTCAGAGGCTGGGTTTGAATCAGAAGCCATGATTAATGCTTAAGCCTTTCCTGAACTATATGTATTTAAGAATCCAGAAACAAACTTGCAGAATCTCTGACAGTTGCAGGCCCTGTGACAGTTGCTTGGTTGGTCTTGCTTAAAGGGCCCACGGTAAAAAGCGCAGTAAGAGAATGCCCCCCCCCACCCCCCGCCCAGCAACACACACACAGAAGGAGAGGCAGAGTGGGTGGGAGAAACCTGTTAAAGGAAGATCATATGACAGGAGGAGTTTGACCTATTTTTTTCCCTCTAATTATAGGTGTATGCACCTACTGTCTCTGCTTTTCTTCTTTTACTGAGTGGAAGAACTGGAAGGGAGATAAGAATTCAGCAAGCTGACTTAAGGGTGACTGACCCCAAGTGACAATGACAAAGTGGAAAATTCAGGGTTTTACACTGTAAGTTCGGCCAATACTGAGTGTTTTTAAAGATATGAAAATCTATTTCAATCGCTAACGACAAGTTAAATACATACTTATGGATATAGGTGTGCTTTTATTTGGTAGTGATATATTAGCATGGTATGCACATATACAAATACAATACACACATATACACACACATATGCCTGTTGTTCCCTACTCAGGAATCCTGGTATTTTCATTGACCCAGCTTTGCACAAGGATATATTTTTCAGAGTACAATGGTCTTGGTACAGATTCAGATTGAAGCTTTAATGAACACAGCACAACTGCACTGAGTGTATATTAATATACCGTAATCCAACTCACTTCTCTGTAAGCACTCAGACACTTAACAACTGCAATCAATTTTAGCTTTATGAAAGATTGGCATCTTTTAACAGAGAATTTTTCATTTGGCATTCTTGATTTGTTTCTCGAGAGTAGAGCTGGTGTTCGAACTGTGGCACCACCTGCCACAGTTCAATCCAGACCTGTGGAAACTATATTTCTAAAGTTTCATTCACACTGCCTCTGTCACCTGAATCTAATTACTCTTGCTCGCCACCCCAAGCAAATTGGCAGCTGTTTAGTTAAGGACAGTTTGCAAACTACAAGGCATGTTTTTTTTTTTTTTTAATTAAGCCTTTTATTTTGTATTGGGGTATAGCCCGATTAACAATGTTGTTAAAGTTTCAGGTGGGTGGCAAAGGGATTCAGCCACACATATACATGTATCCATTCTCCCCCAAACTTCCCTGCCATCCAAGCTGCCACAGAACATTGAGCAGAGTTCCCTGTGCTATATATTAGGTCCTTGTTGGTTATCCATTTTAAATACAGCAGTGTGTACATGTCCATCCCAAACTCCCTACTATCCCTTACCCTATCCTTGGTGCCAGAAGCTTGGGAAGTAGAGAAAAAGTGAGTAAAACGATTTCAAATTACCAGTGCAATTTCTTGAAAATCTGACCTAGTAGTTACAGATCAGGCAATTTTAACTTCGGGAGGCACATTCAATAATCAGAAAAGAAAACGCCAACACAGAAGTCACAAAGTATATGACTATGAGGTTTTAAGAAATATTACAAATAAATGGTTCCTAGTTTTAAAAAATGATTGTTGATTACAAATCAGTTGGAAAGATTTTATTTCAAGAAAGTATGACAAGAATAAAGGAACATATGGTGACAGAGCAAAATGTACCCGTGAATGTGGCCAGTGTTTGAACCTGGTCCAAGAAAAGTGCGCTTGCGTGACAATGAGAGAGTGCATTCATTGGGCACCCACCATACAGAAATCAAATTCCAAGTAAAACCATGCTTGCGTAACGAGCGGAGCACCCATCAAAACAAACGGCAGCTTCTAAAACATGGTTTCAACTTAGGAATGTGAAGTAGGTGTAGCTGAAAGAACACAGGCTGATTTAGATCAAAGCAGACCTGCTGGTAGAAACTCAGCTCTGATTTTCACTGGCGGTGCGTCTTGGGGGACGGCCACTGAGAGTTTCCATTATCAGGCTTCTCCGCTGCCAAATGAGGTGACCGCCATCCACCTCACTGGGTTGTGTGTAGATTCGATGAAGTTACTGAAGGGCAGGCAGTAACAGAGAATTCCTTTCCCATTTACCCTGGAGAAAGTCATACCGATGAGATACAGGGCTACAATACACACACGTGTGTAACGCGGGACTAGAGGGATGTGAGCATGCTGCATGTGGGGTCGGGGATGGTCAAGGAAGACCTCTGGGAGAAAGAACACAGCACTGGACCGTCATCCGTAAGCAAGAAGCCACGGGCAGGCTAGTGGAGGAAGAGTGATGCCCACACAGGCAGGGCAAGCACAGTGTGGGAACAAGAGGGAGCACGAAAGGGGCAGGAAGCCATCTGCCCTGGGCTTCTGTTTGTTGAAAGATTTCTGATCACAGTGAGATGTCCACTGATAGATGAGTGAATAAAGAAGATGCGGCCCATACAGACAGTGGAATATTAGTCATAAAAGGGAATGAACTTGAGTCAGTTGTAGTGAGGTGGCTGAACCTAGAACCCGTTATACAGAGTGAAGTAAGTCTTGGGCTCCAAAATCACTGCAGATGGTGACTGCAGCCATGGAATTAAAAGACGCTCGCTCCTTGGAAGGAAAACTATGACAATCCTAGACAGCGTATTAAAAAGCAGAGACATCACTTTGCCAACAAAGGTCCATACAGTCAAAGCTATGGGTTTTTCCAGTAGTCATGTACAGATAGGAGAGTTGGACCATAAAAAAGGCTGAGTGCCAAAGAACTGATTTTTCTGAATTGTGGTGCTGGAGAAGACTTTTTTAAAAAACGTACTTATTTTTAATTGGAGGATAATTGCTTTACAATACTGTATTGGTTTCTGCTATATATCAACATGAATCTACCATTGGCACCCCTATGTCCCCTTCCTCTTGAACCTCCCTTCCACCTCCCACCCCATACCACCCCACTAGATTGTTGAGAGTTCCATGGACTGCACAGATATCAGACCAGTCAATCCTAAAGGAAATCAACCCTGAATATTCACTGGAAGGGCTGAAGCATCAGTTAGATAGCAAGGGTTAGACAGCAAAGGTTAGGAAGGGTTAGGTAGCATCACTGATTCAGCAGACATGAATTTGAACAAACTCCGGGAGATAGTGAAGGATAGTGTGCTATAGTCCATGGGGTCACATATGGAGTCACACATGACTCAGCAACTGAACAGCAACAACAAAGTCAGAAAGAGAAAAAAATATATCATATTTTAACTCATATATATGGAACCTAGAAAAATAGTACTGATGGTTCTGTTAACAGGGAAAAAATGGAGATACTGACATAGAGAACGAACTCGTGGACACAGCAGGGGAAGGACAGGGCCGGATAAACAGGACAACGAGAAAGTAGCAATGACACATATACACTACCATGTGGAGAAGAGATGGCTAGTGGGAAACTTCTACACACAGAGGAAGCCCAGCATGGCATTCTGCAATGACCTAGACAGGTGGGATGGGAAGGGGGAGGGAGGCTCAAGAGGGAGGGGGGTATATAAACATACAAGACTGATTCAAGTTGTCGTAATGGCAGAAACCAATACAACATTGTAAAACAATCATCCTCCAATTTAAAAAAAATAAAAATTAAAAAAAAATTAATTTAAAAAAGAGGAGGAGGAAACAGCAGCTGACATGATGGGGCTGGACTATGATGCTGCAGTAACTGAGTGGAACTCTGGTTTCTTAATTTAATAACAAAAACAACAGGCACTAATGATTGAGCTCAATGTGCTCAGTTATCAGTCTAAGTGTTTTAGATTATGGTTATAAGGATTAACTGGGGTGGTACATATAAAATATTTAGAACACACATAATATGCTTCAATTACTGTGAACTGTTGGTATTATAATCCTTTCTCTGGATATTAGAATGGAGGTAATCAGGGCTCCCCAGGTGGCTCAGTGGGTAAAGAACGAGCCTGCAGTGCAGGAGACACAGGAGGTGTGGGTTCAATCCCTGGGTCAGGGACATTCCCTGGAGGAGGGCATGGCAACCACTATCCTTGCCTAGAGAATCCCATGGACAGAGGAGCCTGGTGGGCTGCAGTCCACAGGGTGGCAAAGAGTTGGACACGACTGAAGCAACTGGGCATGCATGTATGTTAGGGATCAAGGTTATTTCTCATTTCTGAGAAATTAAGAGATGAAAAAAGAAGCTATTGAAGAGAGTGGGGGTGTGATGTTCCCGGTGAAACATATAGAATTGCTCAGTGAGTGAACATCCACCCAAAACTGGGGCAAGCAATCTGCCCTTGTGTTTGATCTTGAGGCTCACCTTGCCTGTGCTCAGAGGCAAGCACCAGGTAGGCAGATAGCTCACACTGAGACGGATGCGGTGACAAAGCAAGAGGTCAAAGGAGTTAAGAGTACGAGCAAGAAAATAAAGTGTTGGAGTGTGATTCTGACTCCAGAAGCAAGCAAAA